GCTATGCAGCACCTCTCTGAAGCCTTTCCATACTTAGAAACCGACTACACTTTGTTCTGGAATTTTGAAATAAATGGGAAAGGTTCAAGGAAATTGCCGCGGTAGAAATGAAACAGAGTGTGCCCGGCACAAAAACCGCCCATATCTAGGGCTTATCGATTCTCAGGGTTTCAGAAGTCTACTTCAGTCACACCTGCCTGAAATCTTCCCAAACTCACTTGCAGGCTTGGGGCGCTCATGGAGCAGGGAGGCCATTCAAGTGAAATAGCCACTCTTAGTGATTGGGACTAAGCTTTAGGGAGGGAAGGGATTCTGAGAGAACATGTCAGTTAATTTTTGGTCTCCCTGGCGTTCCTCCCATCTCTTTGGGCTCAGGCCGTGTCAAATACCAGCGGTTTTTAAATGCCCTGTTTTGAATGCCCCCCATCACCACCACCATGTGCATGAGAGCCCAAGCTTAGCAAACGAATCCGCCCCTTTTCGAAGAGTATATAAAACTTTCGGCGCTGATCAATGTTTTGAATGCGCCACGCATTCTGCTTCAACTTGGAATCGTGGTGATATTTTGAATCCCACTGGCCAAAGCATGTCGTGGGGAGCTGCCGATAAAGCCAGCAGTTTTATCTTTCGAAAGGCTGGTAAATCAACTCAACTAGCTGCAAAGCATTCGGTGCTGGTCAAACCTTTGGATGCGCCATGCATTCCAATTCCATTTGAAATGTGCTGACATTTGAATTCCACTGGATAATGTAGTCATCGGGAGCTCTCTATAGAGTCAAGGTCTTACACTTCTCGAATGTGGTAAATCAAACCCAACCAGGCGAAAGTTTGATTAAGCTTCACCACGATCGAACCGATATGGGATTTGGCCCTGCTGCCATGTACGCGGTATGCAGCGCCACCTGCTTCTTACCATAACTCTGACCTAATTCCAGCTCCAATGAAATTCTCCCCTGTGGAATGCTTAGCAAAGTTAAGCTTCAGCAAAAATGAGCTGCTCGAAGGCGACGGACGCTCTCTTCGACAACATTTAAATCAATTCGCTACATTTCAATGATGTAGCGCCGTTTCGTTGTGTCTCGCGAAATCTCCCATTATAGCCTGCTTAATTTGGCCAGCTAAGCTCTAGGGCTCCCATCGTAGCCCTGAGGAATATTGATCGTTATGGAAAGAGGAAACAGATGTTTATTTGTCGTAGGTATCGATTAGGCACGCTTTATTGACTTCATCGTCACCACGATTGGCGGTCCAAACGGGGGCGTTCGTGAGAGTTTTTCGGCCCGGCAAGGTCGTACACAACTTCCAACATACAGCAGCTATCTGTCAGAGAAATGCTGAAAGCTCGACAGAGAATTCTGTTCTTCTTCACACCCACCAGCTCTTTCACAACAATCCCGGCCCCCGTACCTACCCTACCTGACTCAACCCCGAGTTGTGACTAACACACTGCTTGACGTACTTTCCAAACCTCGGCGCTAGTTTTTCCGTTTCATTGTTGCTCCGTCACTCCGAGTACCTCGCCGGGCCGGCTGCTCGTTCACGTGCTAGCGGCATGTAACGATGGCGAGGGGCCCCGCCTCTGCGCCCTCCCCGTCCCCACTCAGTGGCGGGGCAGCGCCGCCACCACGAGCGCTGCTCGTCGGTGCTCTGCAGGCTCAAGCCACTTTTCCTATCTGGCCTTCTTGTTGATTCTGCAAGACTTTCCTATCCCTTAGAGAAGTCACAGGACTGTACAAGGTCAGTGAATAGCACGATGAGCGCTAAATTTAGCCCTAATCGACAATCACTTCTGTTGCGCCGTTCTAATGCGAATCGATTGCAACGACCTCCATCAATGGCAAATCCTGTTTTCGACTATGTTGAATGGGACTTCTCAGAAACAGGGACGTTTTCACGGCCGTTGGAAGTCCCCAAGACCTGTGCCATGATGGCCTCCTTGAGTTTTGGGACCATCTCGACAGGTTCTCATCGATATCTCCCCCTTTTCTAAAATTCCGAGTAACGCACTCCTTGACTTTTTACACCGGACCCTTGAGAGCAACGATTAGTCCCCGGGACACCACGGGTTGAACTTGTCTATCTGATTTTTCGTCTCCTGAATGTTGTTTCGTTTTGTGATCGCTTCTACAGTAATAACGACGTGGTCTTGACGACCACAGACGAAAACAGAAAGAACACGTTTTGAAACATCGATGTCAACTATCTGAGGGGTTTTTCTAGAAGCGAGGTCTTGTTTTCCTACCGTAACACGGCTAAATTTCACTTCCGAGGCAATTCATGGATCCTCCAACCATCAGAGGAAATTTCTGACCTGTGGAGGTTTCCTTTTCTTTTGTTTGCCCAGGGGGGGGGGCTTTCATCAAATATTATTGGCTTAGGACGACAACTGCAGTTCCGCGTTTTTTCGAGCCAACGTAGTCTTCCCATCTTTTTCCCACATTTTGTACAGTCGTTCATCGTTACGAGTTGCAAATGAACTGCGCGCTGTGTTTTTTCGCTGTGTTTTTTCGGCTGTTCGACAGCATATCGACTGTTCGCAGTGTATTTTCAAGGATATGAATTGCTTTTTATAACCCGAAAAAGAACCTGAATATATCCCTTTCGATTTTCACTTTTCTCTCGATTTTCCGATAAGGCAAAGTTGGCGTAGCGCTGCTTCTCATTTACACGTATTACCATACCGAGCTCAGAATCAATACATCGATTTTTGGCCCGAGACCGGTTTATTAACCGATTTATTAGTATCGTACTCTTTCAGGAATGTAATGGCTTAAATTTGCTACCAGAACCTAAGTATAGCTGAAATGCGCAATCAATCACCTCCGCGATTTTCAGTAGAAGCCAGCGCATGGCGCATCCCAGGAATCTCATTTGATTCATTTAAAACGCCCGAGTTCCATTAAATTATGTTCCATAGTTATATTATCTGTGTTAGCGCTGAGAATAGGCACTTTTTCGTTGCCTTCTAATCAGTTTTTATGCCTGGAGCTAATCTCGCCATATTCGTGCCCTGAAACAGATGTGATCGTTCTTTGACGGCGCGAAATACAAAGCACAGTTTTTTCCCGGAGTGTGTACGTGCCGCCCTAAAAGTGCATTCCGCTGATGCCCTTTTTCTATCTTGATCAAACCGTGACGATCACCTCCTACCAATCAGCTACAGTACGATCTTATCAGAATACCCTTAGTGTGGTAGCTCTCATATGGCCATATTTCCACCAGGCGACGTCTTCATGTCTCATTTAGTGTTGCGGCGGGCGCTCAGGTAGGTAGGTGGGATGGAATCACGTGGCGCGCGTGGAAACCTATGACCGCTAGCACCACACCTTACCCCCTGACTGCCCCATTGGAGTATAAAGATCGGTCTCGAAGGGGAGCTGTCACCTTATTTTAGTCTCACTTCGAGGATCATTGAACTATTGCCGTCAATGGCCAGTCATCAGTCGATCTCATCTATGGTTTTCAAGTCTCTTTACTTCATAGACTTTTATTTTCTTATGTTTTCTTTTGATTTTATTTAGGATTCAATTTAAGAATAGAGTCCCGAATTTAAGAATAATTGGGGGCTTTTAAAGCAGCATTTTTCTCTTCCCCTGCTGTGATGCCCTGGGCCAGGGTACAGGAAGTACCGGCCGGGGATGGGTTTCCAAAAATGCACCTCTGACGCAT